TGTTCCCTTTATCCCCAGAACAAAAGACAACTCTAGGCAGCATTACAAACCCTTCTAAGTCAATGTTATTACACCAGCTCAGAGCTGCATCACAATTGCTACACTTTTTTCACAGGTGCATTTCCTCTCTGCATTTTTCAGATATACTTCTATTCTTTTGAAGTATTCCACACAGCCAAGTTTGAAGAATACCTCATCCCATACGTGTCCCTGGGAGTTGGGCTGTGTGAATGCTTATCCTCTATACTGTGTGTAAGTATTATCAGACTTGAGTTTGAAGGAAAAAATTAATGTGGTCAACAATTGTACTTGTCCTTACTTATAACTAGGCTTGACAAAAATACACAAAACCTAAGACACACCTTCCTGCCTCTGCAAAATCACATGCAGGATAAAAGGCAGTTCTTTTCTCAGGTTGTTTGCACGACTGTATGTCTATAGACTCATTTTTATTCTGTAAATAATTTTCTGATGTTCTGGATTAGATGTGTGTACATGTGTGTGCACAATTCAATATATACCAGCACACAAGAAAGGAAACTGTCTAACAACAGCCTAGGGTTGTCTAATAAACACAGCTTAATAATAACAAATTAGCTTTGAAGATACTCTCAGTTGACTTTGATTTCTGGCTGTTCAGATAAGTCTTCTGTGAAGAACACATGGAGAGGAGAGGAATTATTTTATTTGGGAACCGGGATTTATGACTCATGTTCTTTTATGCTTTTCAGAGCACCCTTATAGACCGATTTGGAAGGAAAGTGCTGCTGTGGGGAGGATACACACTGATGTGTTCTGTGCTAGCGCTTCTTACCATGACCCTGTCACTGCAGGTAAAGAAGGAACAGACTTCTGGCTACTTACTCAGCATCAGCCCACCTTTCTGGTCTTACCTCACAGGACATGTGCAAAAACTTGATTCAGTGGCAGAAAATACAGAGCTTTGCTATTGTCATGTATCTAACATTTTGGTATTGCTGGTTTCTCACTTTCAGCATCGATTTTTCTGGATGCATTACTTCAGTGTTATCTTGATCTTCCTATTCGTTATCTTCTATGGAATTGGACCATGTAAGTACACCAATGGCAACATTGGGAAGAAATTGTGTACTGTATTGGTTGGTGACACAGCTGGCAGAAGAAGAACAGATTAGGCCCATGGGAAAAAGTTCTGGAAAGTAAGGAGGACAGGGCAGATATGTGCAATTGGGAGACAGGAAAAGGATACAAACACCTCAAATTTTATTGCTGATCACAGGATCTAATAATTTAAAATGCAATATCATCTTCTCCAAAGGGTTTGAGACAGAAATTTCGAAACAATTTTTTAAAATACTCAGCTAAACCCAGGATTCTAGACATTGCCAAGTATATTATAATCTTCATTGACTTAGCAAGTTAAGCTTTATGCCTACCAACATACTTCAGGTAGAACTGACCATAGGAGACAAAAAGGGAGCTGGTTTTATAAAATACTGTGCTAATAATGGCTACCAGTGCAACATGGACCTGTGCAGATCCACTGGCACCAGAAAAAGGATGCCAGTATGTACCAGATAAACCCAAATTAACAGCTGAAGTCCTAAATTAACAGCTGTAGTCTCTTTCTGGAATCAAGGTCTTTCTCTCTCACAGTAGGGGCTACCTGCCAACAGGCCAAATATTCTGCCTGGCTGTCATCTTCTACCACTGCCATTGTGAGGATCTTCAGCACAAGCAAGAAAACAAGTATACCTGGTTTGTGCTTTGCTTTTCTTTTTCAGCTGGAGCTACTATATCTATCATGGTTGAAATCTTCAGCCAGTCATTCAGACCTTCAGCCTTTCTGATTGTTGGCTGCATCAACTGGATGGGACTGTTTGTCCTTGGGATGATTTTTCCATTGATTGTTGTAAGTGACTCTAACTGGATCCCTCTCTCTAGGCTAATCAACCTCTGAATGCTGACTGGGAGAAAATAATAGCAATAAATTGCAATGAAATGTAAAGTTTAGAGCTCTACCTGAACACCAAAACTGCTCAGGAATCCCCCTAGACTGCTAGAAGAGCAGCAGTTGGATTCAGGTCAAACATGGCCAGTGGAAACTCCTGCGTTTATACCTGTCTTGGTTTGTGTATTGAGCACGTCTTTGAATTTTAGTTACTAAGACACAGACTTGCACCCAAGGGCAGGGAAATAGAAACAATATGCTGATTTTCCTTACACCGTTTCCCACTTCTGCTTACAGGATAACCTTGGACCCTTCTGCTTCCTTATCTTTTTGGGAATCCTTGCTTGCTCAGCAATTTTCATCTACCTGTATCTCCCTGAGACCAAGGGAAAGTCAATCATGGAAATAAAAGCAGAGTTCAACAAGCTGAACTTTGGGAAAAAAGAAACCTCAGTCTCTGAAAATAATTTTCCTAAGGAAGAGTTCTGCACCAAACTCTGAATGTTCAGAGGAGAAATTTGCATCTCTTAGAAAAGACAGGAAACAATGTTGCAACAGAACTAAAAAGGAAACATTAAAAACAGACTGAAAGGTCTTCTGTGTCTTGCTCCCTTTTTCTTTTTTCTTATTTATTTTTTTAAATAGATACAAAATTCATTATGCTAGAGATTTATTTCGTGACTATATCTAAACATTTTCACAGGAAATGTCACAACTCAGCTTTAAGATCTACTGGATATAAAGAGATTTTTTTCCTATTAATAAAAATACCAAACCTTTCATGATAGTTCACCTTATGAACTTAAAACATTTTGTTAACAGTCCATAGAGCCCACATCCTGCTAGAAAAACATACATAGAGGCTCTGCTCACAGGCCTGGGCTCATCCTGAGTCTCAGTTGTTCTCCCTTGTTCCCGGGAGTCCTGCCCAGTACCACAGGTACCTGAACAGTTTGTTTATGAGGTTTCCTAAATGAGAGCTCTCTAGCTCATAATCAGGAAACTGCTGACAAATAGCTCAGAGTATCAGAAATAGGAATGACCAAGTGAAACAATTTAAGAAGACAAACCAAGGGAAGGAAGTATTAAGAAGTCTAAATGACCATCAGTCATGAGGCTGGAGAAACACAGAAGTCTAAAATATTTGACTAGCAGGCTGATAGGTGAAAATCTAGATATGTAGTTTAGGGTGACCTGAGCAAATATGGATTCAAAACTTAGCACAGTAAATGAAGAAAAAAAGGTTCCAGCCACGATAACAGAAAAAAATATTGAAAGTTAAATTGTATTGTGCAACAGTCCTTCTGGAGATGTAATGAAAATCTCAGTGGAGAACATCCTAGTAACTCTAGGCAGGGAGAGCAACCTGCTAAACAGAGATTTTATTGCATACAAAAGAAGTAAAATGGCTGCTATAAAAGAAAGCACACTCCCAAGAGCATCTGTGGTGTCTAAGGATCTGATTTCCAACCTGGTACATCAGCTTCTGGGAATTACATCAGATGTTTTCAGAGAAGAAAGAGTTTGCTTTGGAAACGTTTCTCTTGTTATGTAAGCAGGCTGCGAATAACTAGTGATTATTGTACCCAGCAGAAAAAATAGGTTGTGAATTTCATTGGAAATACAGTCTAAGTTTTTCTAAGTGACCACTGATGAGTATAGTATGATTTCTGACTAAATGTTTTTGATCATGCCACCTGCTTTCAACTAATCACTGAAGAAAATAGTCATCAATATTACAAACAGCAGTTCCTCTCCTTACAGATGGAGCTGTCATTTGAGTTTGTTTATAACACTTTAACATAGGAAATACTCCATGGAAAGGCTGTTTGTATGAACAGATTCTATTTCTGGATTTTTTTTTCAGGATTTTCATTATTTTCTGAATGTTTTGGATACAAGACTGTAGATGAACACTGGCGCATAGTAATTAGTCTGCTGGGTTTTTACAGCAAGGGTGCTACAGTGAAAGAACTGTCTTAAAATCAATATACAACACACAGTCAGCTTAAGCATGTTCATACAGAAGTTTTCACCATTTAAAAGTATTTGTTTAAATTACATGGTTGTAGTACAAGTATTTAGTCCAAGCTATAGAAAGCTCTCCCTCTTTTGGGGGCAACAGGGTAAGCAGAAAAGCCCTTAACTCACAGAAACTACTGGGCATAGAGGCACCCATCATCTTTTACATGGAGAGATTAACAAGCCATTTATTTGATCCCCATCAGTGTCTTCAACCTGCTTTCTCCACACACATCTCACTGTGAACACCCTCTACCAAAGGTTGTATGACCCCTCTAAATGACTTCTCTCAGTACGACTTGACTAGGTAGCAAAAAGAACTGACCCCAGCTCTCCCGCGTACTCCACTCTGGATAAAACCTACTCATTTTAGAAATACTGTGGTTTTGCGATCTCTCAGGAGATCCTGTTGACTATTATGGGACTATTTGCACAACAAAGGAGCAAGCTGAAAACAAGCCTACTCTGAATATGTAGAATCCAATGCTCATCACAGAGGAAAAGCAATGCCCTGATTTTAAGGCATCTTTGTCATGACTTAGTCACAGTTCAGAAAAGGTCTCTACAACACATGCTACTGGGGTTTTTCTGTTATGGTCTACTCCACAGAAAGAGTTCCAGACCTCACAATTAAGGCATCTATCTAAGTTTTTAAAATAATTATAAGACTTACATAAAGAGGCGCACTACAATTCTCCCACTCTCAGTTTCTGAAATGCTTGCCTTTTCCTGGTTTTCACAATCAGGCTGTATCCAAACATGAAGGGTCATTTCAGATGCTTTGATTTCCAGAGCACAAAAAGCCCACTTTCCTCCCTAGAAAAGCTGTGCACTGACTGTCTGCATTAGCAGCCTGTAAATGGCCCATACAGCCTCACCTCTCCCGAAGCACTCCCACTCCTCCAGGTGCACCTGGGGAAGGTACCAGGAACTATTTAAAGTCTCCTGAGGCACCTACTAGCATAGTGGAGTAAACTATCTTGCAGGAGGGTTAGAAACAAAGCTTTGAATAAGGTGAGCTGGAATAAGACTCTCTTGCAAACCAAAGATGCCTAAATTCATTGTTAATGCAAATATAAGCAAGGATAAAGGTCTAGAGCCTTTCACAGGGAAGCTCACCCAGCAGTTATCAAAAACAATGGGCAAACCAGCATAGGTAAGTTCAGATGCTCAGATATTTTTCTTATTTAGTCAGTTGTGTCTACACTATGAGCTATTTCTCAGTGACAACCTCTATAAACTAATATACCTAATTGTGACACCAAATTGCTTGTAGCCTAGTGGCTACAGCTGAAGAAGAAAATAAGGTGTTAGCTTACAAGGACATCTAGCAAAAATACCCATGTGACATCCTGCTACTTGTAGTCAAAATACCAGAGTAAAATCTGTCTGCTGGTTTCATTACCAGACTGAGGGATTTTTACCTCCTAAAACCCATGGCAACATGCTACTGAGGTAAAGTACTGAAATGCCAATTAAACACATCTAGCATTGAGGATTTTACAAGGCTTTTCTTTTCTTAATTCATCCTGAAAGGTCACTAGTTGTTTACTGAAGACTGTCGATGAATATGAAAAACAAAGTGAAAGCCTCTCTATGGATCTGTAAGCTTTATAACATGAGCTACTCCTCAGTTGCTGCAGCAGCAGTAACTTAAGTGAATTACCTATAGATTTTTAGCAGTTTGGTGAAGTACACTTTTGAAGTATTCATTAGCAAATGAGTACTTTCATAAAATGTTTCTTATTTTACTTTGGGAGTCATGCTCTGAAACTGTAAAAAGAATGAAGTTCTGGTGCCTACAGAAAGGATTTGGAGGGCTTCCCAGTGAACCTTTCTCTGTGCACTGAGACACCTGAAGTTTTTGAGCAGAGTTTTGCTCTTCGTGGAAACAGCGTTCTGAAAAGGCAGTCACCTCAGACTACTTAAGATCAAAACAGAGGTCTCTGAACCCCATAGCAATAGGTAGAAGCATTCTCAAGAGAGAGAGTCAAAAAAGAGAGAAAAAAACAAACAAACCACAAGTAGGATAATTGGGAATACTAGAACAAACTTCTGAATGTCTTAAAAATGATAAGAGGAAAATTGTGAGCAGCTGGCACGGTTTTGTCAAAACTGGGAATATTTTAAACAGTCCCACAGCAGTGTCTTATGCTCAGATCTAGTCAACACTTTCATTTATGACTCAGTGGACTAAGGTGTGCAGATGACAATAGCTTGTATGCAAGAGAAAGGAGACAGAGTAAGAATTCAAGAAGCAAGTAAGACATATCTTCTCAAGTCAAAAAGCTTGCTGTCAACAGCTGATTTGTAAGTCAAACTGCACAAAAGACAAAGAATAATTGATTAAAGAGTGAAGGATCTGGGGAACTATTGTATGTTACAACATGAATAAGAGTTAAAATGAGGCTTGGAAGCAGGGGGGTTTAATTTCTGTTGTGCCCAAGGTAGAAATAAGCCTCAGGAGTCGTCCTCCATCCAGCCCTTTACTCGGGCCCTTCAAGCTGAGAAAAAGGTAGGCAGATTAGAGGTGCACCAAAGGAAAAGCATTAAAGAAATAAGAGACTATAAGGATCAACAGACATTCTGACTCTTCTAGGAGAAAAGACCAAAGAGAGGCAGTTGTAGAAGACAAGGGAACATTTTTATCCCTCCCACCACCCTTACTCTGTGGCATAACGCAGGGAGCAGCCAGTTTAACGTGCAACAAAATTTCAGCTAGTTCTTAGAGGAAAACTTCAAAAGTTTGTGAATTCCAGTCAAGTTCTGCATTAGATTTGTGTCATGAATTCCACCAGTGGTGGGTTGGTCAATAGTGCTGACATTTCTTTGACCAATTAGAAATTCTCAGTTCAGAACTGATACTTATAATATTTTTACTCATTGTTGTATGGCTGTATAATTAAAAGACTGTTGTATGTGGTTGGATGTTCTCATCAAATTGATTTGATGTCGAGTTAAAAAGCCAATTGACCTGGAGAAGCGTGGTTCTACTGTGTCTCTTTCAGGTGGATTGTTTGGCAGATAACGGGTCTCTCTCTCTCTAGGGACAGTAATGGAGCTCTGTGCAATCAACCAGTCTCATTAAACATGTAGGAAATCAATCTCTGCCAAATTTGACCAAAGTTAGTTATCCTGGGAAATGGTCAGAAGCATGTTGTAGGCTTGTATAAGCCTTACCTCCACAGAAAGCAGGCTTAACTGTAAATGGGAGTAAGATTTTGTTTTTCCCCAACACAGGCAGTAATATAATGAAATCCTTATGTAAAACTGATGTGTTGTATCTCTCTTCAAAAAAAACCACTTTTTTATCAGTCTAGCAAACAAGTACTTGCTGTTGGGGGG